AATGGGATTGCTGAGTCCTCGTGGCTCACAGATTACTACAACAACAGTTGCAGGTACAAGTTATGCGATGATCATGACGCGAGAGCGATGCTTGCTTGCGTTGAGTTCTTCTTCTGCTTCTTCGATCAGGGATAGGTTCCAGGTCGGCAGCCTGGGCTAGCAGGGTGGATGTCGTTTGAGTTTCTGTTTGTGCTTCATCTGTAGTCGGATGATGATCTTATGTATGATGATGTTGTATTCATGTGGCATTGTTTGCCTCTTGTATGTATCCCCATATATTGTGTAATGTTGATGTAATGATATCCACCTTGCAAAAGCATTTCAATATGTGGGTCTATCCTTGGTGGGACCTTCGAGTTCCTTTTGGATAGGGTCGCATATTGGGCGTGACACCAGCCCACTAAGGGGCTGTGCGCCCCCCTCACCTACTCCCACGTGACCAGGGGGTTTGGGGCACCCCATCTAGGGTTCCCACCTCCTGGCTTGGGGGCCAAGTCACCCAAAGGGGAGATCCCATCTGCCCTGGCCGCCCCCCCCTAGGGGAAACCCTAGGGCACCTCCCCCTCTCCCTTCCCCCTATATATAGTGGAGGTTTTGGGGCTGCCCAACACATGAGTCTCTCTCTCCCAAGGCGCAACCCTACCTCTCTCCCTCCTCGTCTCTCGTAGTGCCTGGCGAAGCCCTGCTGGAGTACCTCGCTCCTCCACCACCACCACGCTGTCGTGCTGCTGCTGGACGGAGTCTTCCCCAACCTCTCCCTCTCCCCTTGCTGGATCAAGGCACGGGAGACGTCACCGGGCTGCACGTGTGTTGAACGCGGAGGCACCGTTCTTTGGTGCTTAGATCGGATTCAAGCGCGATCTGAATCGCTTCGTGTACGAATCCACCGACCGCGTTCTTGTAAGCTTCCGCATGGCGATCTTCAAGGGTATGAAGATGCACTCCCCTCTCTCTCGTTGCTAGTATCTCCATAGACTGATCTTGGTGATGCATAGAAAATTTTGAATTTCTGCTATGTTCCCCAACACAATCTTCCACCCAGAGATAGCAATTTGCCTTTCCAACTGCTTAGTCTTTTTTGTAGTCTCTCCTCGACGTGTTTCCATTCAGCATTTGTGAGTCTCCGATAGTGTATCGGTATCCCCAAATATGTGATAGGAAACTGGCCCAAACCGCAGCCGAACAGGTCAGCATACAAATGGGCCTCATCTTGAGCCTCGCCGAAACAATACAATTCACTTTTATGGAAGTTGATCTTAAGACCCCGAGAGTTGCTCAAAAGCTGACAAAATCAATTTCAGATTTCTCGCTTTTTCTAGGTCATGATCCATGAAGAGAATCGTATTATCAGCATATTGAAGAATAGAGAGACCACCATCCACAAGATGATTCACTACTCCATCAATTTGGCCATCAGCCTTGGCATGCTCAATCATGACAGCCAACATATCCGCCACTATATTGAATAGCATGGGCGATATTGAGTCACCCTGTCTTAATCCTTTCTTCGTTTGGAAGTAGGGGCCCACGTCATTATTGACTTTAATGGTCATGCTACCTCCGGAAACGAAACTATGGATCATAGCGCGCCACTCTGCAGAAAAACCTTTCATTCCGAGAGTCTGCTGAAGAAAAGACCACTTGACTTTATCATAAGCCTTTTCAAAGTCGATCTATCGGCTAAAACTTTGGTTGGTGTCTTGTAGCTGACATTTAACAAATAAATTGGTCTAAATTTTTGAATCCTATCAGCATCAGGCACCTTTGCAATTACAGTAATAATCCCATGGTTTAATCTCTCCATATCAAGCTTTTCAACTTGAAACAGCTCTTTCAGATCATGCTTCATGGTCTCCCAAAAAACCTAGTAAAATTCTATTGGTAAACCATGAGGGCCAACGGCTATATTATGTTTCATTCCAAAGACAACTGCCTTGATTTCCTCCAAAGTAAAATATTCAACAACCATCTTTCTATCTTCCTCGCTCAACTGTGAGCACCAAATTTCGTCTAATTTAATGAATGTGACATCGGCAGGCCCAAACAACAGCTTGTAAGAATCAGTAATATGAGCCACTAATTCAAGTTCAGCAATGATGAGATCTCCATCATTCATCAAAATGAGATGATATTCTTCTTTTTCCTACCACTAGATCATCTCAGTATGTGCCAATCGAACGGCGGGACAAGCAGTGGATGTGGCAGTCATCGCGCAGGCGCGACGGATAATAAAGATGCAAACTCAACTACGTATATATAACTCCGCCAAGAGGAAAATACGTAGGGAAAACATCCACCGTTGGATTGGATCCGTCGCGGTCGACGGTGGGATCGGATCAATCCTGCAGGTCGCTCGGATTGCCAGAGAAAGAAGCGAGGAAGGAAAAGAAAACGAAAGCGGGTAAATCCTGGCCACGGGCCCGCCGCGGACGCTTGACAAGGCGGCGAGGCAGAGCCCGGAGAGTCCAGATGCGATCCTCGACGTCCGCACCCGCAACACGCGGAGCGCAGGCTAGTCAGCAGCCAAAGTGGCAGCGCCGTCTCCGCCACAACCCGGAGACACCTCGCGCTTCCGCCCACCTCCCCTCCCTCCCCTCCCAATCCAATCTGCCTTCTTCTTCTCTTCTTCTCCCACGGCGAGTGCTGCTCCTATATATACCCCCTGGGCCGCCCCACACCTCTCGTCTCTCTCCTTCTCCCGTCCTCTCTCCTGCGCACCTGGAGCCATCGCACGCTTCCTGTCGAGTACACTGCCTGGCTACCTGTCCCCCGGCTGAGCGTCGTACATATGTGTGAGTAACTAACTGTTCCATCTCTGCACGCCCTGCGTGACTGATTGATTCTGTCAATGCTTCGGCCGAAAACTGATTCGCCGGTGCTGCAGGAACGGCTGCGTTGCGGCGGCTCGGCCAGGTTTGCTGATGTTCATCTAACTACCCGGGGAGAATTCAGAGTTGCCCACAGAGAAAGAAAGAAAAAGGAGAGCCAGGGATCCATCGAGCTTCGAATTCGCCTGTTCCCTTGGCCATTGGTCACGGTTAAGCTTGGGTCAAGGTGAGTTCCTTCTCTGAGTTTGCCTGCGTATAACTCTGCGACATTTTCTACAGAGCGCCGTGTTTTTTTAACGAATTTTGGCATTGCAAAATGCTTCATTCCACCTCACAAGTGATGTTTCTCTTGCTTCCCCATAGATCCTTAGATTTCATTATTGTGCACTGTCCGGTCGTCTCATTCAACATGTGAGTTCGTCAGGCTATCTACAGAGAAGTGTCCAGTGGAAGTAGATCGGTCCAGTTGCTAGGTGCATGTGTTTGTGTCCAGGTGTGGCTTAGGGGTGCATGTTGCTTGCTTCTCCAATTATTATTCTTCCTTTTGGTTGGTAGTCAGTACTCCGTACTCCTAACTAGAGAGCCAGATGTTTTTCCT